TGTCAGGAACATCAGTGGAGATGAGATGAAACATAAGTAGAAACTAGTAACATAATAATAAGTGTGTTAGCTGACTGTCACAAAAAATATGTGCTCCAAAGAAGGTAGAATTAAATTATGTTAATCAGCTTAACAATAACCCACAACCTTCGGACCAACTGAATTAAATTATGAATATACTTTCTAAACAATGGGACAAGTCACAGAGGATCAACTCTCACCTATATTAGTATATCAAATTGGAGTTCTGAAAAAAGGCACCACCTAACTGATGATTGTGAGGGTCAAAGACATTTAGTCACTGGCTTTCATTGATTTGATTCTATAGATTCCCCCTACTATGCATGAAGGCAGCAGATAATACTATTGTAAATAGATGTTCCTTGACTTGCTCAGTAGAATATACAACATATAATATTCAAAATTAAACATGTGACATAACTGCCACTACTGCAGTTTTCACAATAATTTTTGTTTTTTATTAAAGTTTGTTATTAAATTGTTGAGAAATTTGTATTCTTGATCAGTGCTCAGGAAGAGTAGATGGTACTAAGTGGGGGTGCATGGAGATAGTACAATGAGAACCAAATAAGCTGGGTCTACATATCTGGCATTTATTTAGTAACTTCTTTTATATTACACAGTGTAGAATACTCTGTAGACACTGAGAAAGCTAAATGAATGTACAGACTTCCTAGTCATCCATCAAGTGTAGTAGGTCAGGCTCATCTTCATTTCTGGGTTTTATTCATAAAGTAAATTGAGGTCTCAGGTGTTGTGGGATACAGGTCCCTTGAAGAACAAAGCATAAGTCCTTAGGAAAAGTCAGGATCCACTTACAGTCCCATCTCTCAACTCAACCTTTAGAAAAATTGGTTTTTGTGGTTTAGTAAGTGCTAGAGTATTTAATTCCAGAGGGATCTGCAAAGGTTAAACAGCATATGAGAACTGATTAATGAAGCATTGTCAACAACAGAAGCAAAGTAGAAAAGATCCATTAAGACCAATAATGTCTTCAATATAAAAACTACTTTTAGCATCATATATCTTTGATTTCTAATACTTATTTAATAAGCCGTGTCAAGACTGGATAGTGAAAGCATGCATGCATCCATTCATTTTACAAAATGTTTATACAGCACATATTCTACACAGGTCAGAGACAAAATCATATTGGTTTGGTTTAAATTTTAAATAAAAAGGATGAATTTTTAAAATTTAAACCAGATACTTAGGCATTATGGCAAAGTATTTTGAAAAGCCATATAGAGTTAATTTTGTGCATGTTGAAACTTGCAAGGTAATCCTGAGTACATATTACACATTTCAATAGTGTGGACCATCCTCGACTTCGAGAGTCCAGTCACCTCTCCCAGTGAAACCCTTCCAGTTTCATGATGGGAAGAGTTCTTTGTGAAGCATTATGCTTGTATTGTAACATCTCCTGGCTCCCAAGTGCAGTGTCAATGGTGAACTTCTGCAGGCCTATGTAGTGATTAAACTAATAGTTTTAGCTCCATTCATATATATATTTCCCCTTTCTCTCTCCCTTCTTTTCTTTTTTCTTTTCCTTGCTCTACCTTTCCTCCTTCTTTCCATTTTTCTGTATGGTTGCTATTTTTTTGTTTGTTTCTTTTGTTTTGTTTTTAGTATTTTTGATACTTCTGTGCATGTTGAGTGTTGAGTGTCAGTTGTTCTAACATGTGAGTGTATTTTGTTGTTGTTGTGCTTGTTGATTTGTTTTGTTCTGAAACTGCTCTACACCAGGGCCCAGCCCAAAAGGCACAAGAATCATCACACCCAGAAGCCAACTTTAGACCAAATCAGGGCACTACTGGGTTTGACCAACAAGAGACACAGCTAAAGGGAATGCTCTACAGGCATAGAAGTCCATAGGGGTCAAACCTCATCTGAGGGGTCAACTCTTACACAGCAGCTCATACACTGTGGATATAGCCAATTCTCACAGCTAGTCAGCCTGGGATTCAATCCCACCTACTGATAATCCAAAAGCAATTAAAGCTCAACTTTAACAGGAGAAGACACACAACACAAGGACACCTTTGGAACACATGCACAGGAGATCAAGGAGACAGAGCAATTCAAATATAAAGGACACATAACACATAAGTCCACCCAGCAGAGATTGAGAGACCTAGGGATCTACCTAATACATCGAAGCAAGCACAAAGAGTCAGCCAGAATGAAGAAACAAAGAAACACGTCCCAAATAAAAGAACTGAAGAAACCTTCAAAATTAGTGGAACTAAATGAAATAGAGGCAACCAACCTATCAGAGGCAGAGTTTAGAACACTGATGATAAGAATGTTTAAGGAACTTAGTGAGAACATAAAGAAGGATAGAGGAATCATGAAAAACGGAATCATGAAAAACAACACACTCAAAGGAATTACCAGCAGATTAGATGAAGAAGAGGATCAAATCAG